GGGCACTGGGGGCACTGGGGGCACTGGGGGCACTGGGGCTGCCCCACCTCGTCCGCCAGCAGCAGCAGCGACTCCTCGAACGCCAGAGACAGCAGGGCCAGCATGGAAGGGAGGCTGAGAGCGGGGCCTGGGATAACGGGAATAACGGGAATAATGGGAATAATGGGATAATGGGAATGGGAATGGCGGCTGAGAGCGGGGCCTGGGATAATGGGAATGATGGGAATGGGAATGGGAATGGAGGCTGAGAACGTGGCCTGGGATAACGGGATAATGGGAATAACGAGAATAATGGGATAATGGGAATGGAGGCTGAGAACATGGCCTGGGATAACGGGAATGATGGGAATAACGGGAATAACGGGATAATGGGAATGGGGGCTGAGAACGTGGCCTGGGATAACGGGATAATGGGATAACAGGAATGGGAATGGCGGCTGAGAACGTGGCCTGGGATAACGGGAATGACGGGATAATGGGATAATGGGATAATGGGAATGGCGGCTGAGAACGGGGCCTGGGATAACGGGAATAACGGGAATGGCGACTGAGAACGTGGCCTGGGGGGGAATAATGGGATAATGGGAATGGCGGCTGAGAACGGGGCCTGGGATAACGGGATAATGGGATAATGGGAATGGGAATGGGGGCTGAGAATGTGGCCTGGGATAACGGGAATAACGGGAATGGGAATGGCGGCTGAGAACGGGGCCTTGGGGGGAATAATGGGATAATGGGAATGGAGGCTGAGAACGGGGCCTGGGATAACGGGATAACGGGATAACGGGATAATGGGAATGGGAATGGGAATGGTGGCTGAGAACGGGGCCTGGGATAACAGGAATGACGGGATAATGGGAATGGGAATGGGAATGGCGGCTGAGAGTGGGGCCTGGGATAACGGGAATAACGGGATAATGGGAATGGCGGCTGAGAACGGGGCCTGGGATAATGGGATAATGGGAATAACGGGAATAATGGGAATGGGGGCTGAGAACGGGGCCTGGGATAACGGGAATAACGGGATAATGGGAATGGCGGCTGAGAGCGGGGCCTGGGATAACGGGAATGATGGGATAATGGGAATGGGAATAACGGGAATGGGGGCTGAGAACAGGGCCTGGGATAGCGGGATAATGGGAATGGGGACTGAGAACGGGGCCTGGGATAATGGGAATGACGGGATAATGGGATAATGGGATAATGGGAATGGCGGCTGAGAACGGGGCCTGGGGGGGAATAACAGGATAATGGGAATGGGAATGGGAATGGGGGCTGAGAACGGGGCCTGGGATAACGGGAATAACGGGATAATGGGAATGGGAATGGGAATGGGGGCTNTAACGGGATAATGGGAATGGGAATGGGAATGGGGGCTGAGAACGGGGCCTGGGATAACGGGAATAACGGGATAATGGGAATGGGAATGGGAATGGAGGCTGAGAACGGGGCCTGGGATAATGGGAATGACGGGAATAATGGGAATGGGGGCTGAGAACGTGGCCTGGGATAACGGGAATGACGGGAATGGGAATGGGAATGGGGACTGAGAACGTGGCCTGGGATCACGGGATAATGGGATAATGGGAATGGGAATGGCAGCTGAGAACGTGGCCTGGGATAACAGGAATGACGGGATAATGGGATAATGGGATAATGGGAATGGGGGCTGAGAATGTGGCCTGGAGTAACGGGATAATGGGAATAGTGGGAATGGCGGCTGAGAACGTGGCCTGGGGTGAGAATAACGGGATAATGGGAATGGGGGGAATAGTGGGAATAGTGGGGGCTGAGCCTGGAACCCCGGCTGAGAACATGGCCTGGAGTGGGAATAACGGGATAATGGGAATGGGGGCTGAGAACATGGCCTGGAATAACGGGAATAACGGGAATAACGGGAATGGGGGCTGAGAACGTGGCCTGGAATAACGGGAATGGTGGGAATGGGGGCTGAGAACGTGGCCTGGAGTGGGAATAACGGGAATAACGGGAATGGTGGGAATGACAGGAATGGCGGCTGAGAACGTGGCCTGGAATAACGGGAATAACGGGATAACGGGAATGGCGGCTGAGAACGGGGCCTGGAGTGGGAATAACGGGAATAATGGGAATGGGGGGAATGGGGGGAATGATGGGAATGATGGGAATGGGAATGGGAATGGGGGCTGAGCCCTGGAACGCCGGCTGAGCACGTGGGCTGGAGTGGGAATAACGGGAATGGGAGTGGGAATGGGAATGAGACACCAGGAATGGGAATGGGGACTGAGCCACTGGGAATGGGAACGGGAATGGGGATGGAGACTGAGCAAGGGGAATGGGAATGGGAATGCGGGCTGAGACACCGGGAATGGGAATGGGGACTGAGCCACTGGGATGGGTTTAACTGGATAAACTGAGGCACTGGAGGGGTTTAACTGGGGACACTGAGCCCTGGACTGGGTTTAACTGGGGACACTGAGCCCTGGACTGGGTTTAACTGGGGACACTGAGCCCTGGACTGGGTTTAACTGGGGACACTGAGCCCTGGACTGGGTTTAACTGGGGACACCGAGCCCTGGA